GGCTGTCTCCCGGGCGGTGGCGGGTGCTGGCCCCCCCAGTGCCACCCTGGGCGGGGGCCGATGTCCCTGTGCCCACAGGGAGGTGCTGGGGCACCCCGAGGTGGGGGCCCTGCTGCAGGCGCCGGTGCTGGGACCCCTCCTGCCCCCCGAGACCCAGCGCAGCCTCGAGAGCTCCTGCATCGCCGCTGTCAAGGTACCGGCACCACAGCGGGCACCGGGACCGGCAAGGGATGGGGACTGGGGCGGGAGCGTGATGAGCACCGTGGTGGCACTGGGACGGGAACACAGTGGCCACTGTGGTGCTACTGGAATGGGCACAGGGATGATCCCATGATGGGCAACGTGGTGGCACTGGGATGGGAACCCAATGGGGAGAGTGGTGGCACTGGGATGGGCACCAGGGTGATACTGTGGTGGCACTGGGATGGGCACAGGGATGGGCACATGATGGGCAACGTGGTGGCACTGGGATGGGAACCCAATGGGGAGAGTGGTGGCACTGGGATGGGCACCAGGGTGATACTGTGGTGGCACTGGGATGGGCACAGGGATGGGCACATGATGGGCAACGTGGTGGCACTGGGATGGGAACCCAATGGGGAGAGTGGTGGCACTGGGATGGGCACCAGGGTGATACTGTGGTGGCACTGGGATGGGCACAGGGATGGGCACATGATGGGCAACGTGGTGGCACTGGGATGGGAACCCAATGGGGAGAGTGGTGGCACTGGGATGGGCACCAGGGTGATACTGTGGTGGCACTGGGATGGGCACAGGGATGGGCACATGATGGGCAACGTGGTGGTGGCACTGGGATGGGCTCAGGGACAGTCCCAGGGCTGGGGGCTAGCGGGGGCCTCTGTGCCCTGCTGTCCCCACGCCTGCTGGTGTCCCCATGCCCGCTGTGCCCGGTGCCAGGCGAAGGTGGAGGTGGCGGTGGCACAGGAGCTGCAGCTCAGCGAGGACACGTGGGCAGAGGAGGCCTCCAGCCAGGACCTGCAGGAGGGACTGGCCACCCGCGTCACCGGGGTATGGGCATGACCCCCCTGACCCGTCCTCTGGTCCCATTCCATGGGGACCCATGGCTCTGCGGGGTGACCCGCAGCCCCGTAGGGGTGTTGGGGTGGCTGGGCACCCCACGGGGCCACCATGGGGCCAGGGTACCCCATGGGGCCACCAGGGTGCCTGGGTACCCAGCGGGGACACCAAGGTGCCTGGGTACCCCACAAGGACACCAAGGTCCCAGGGTACCCCATAGGGACACCAGGGTGCCCAGGTGCCCTATAGGGACACCAGGATGCCAAGGTGCTCCAAGGAGATGGTGGGGTGGCTGCTCCCCCAGGGGACACCATGGTGGTGGCGGCCATGTCCCCAGTGGGACAAGGGGCTGGTGGCTGTGCCCCCACCCCCAGCACTGCCCGTGCCCACAGCTGCTGCGGGCGCACGTGGATCGAGCCCCCCAGATCACCCCTGAGTTTGGCATGGAGATGGCACACAGCCTCCTGGGCGTGCTGGTGGCCTTCCTGCACAGGTGGGCACGGGGGGACAATGGAGGGGGGTCAAGGGACGGGCATGGGGATGTGGGACCACGGGGAGGCCGGGCATGGACATGGGGACGTGGGACCACGGGGAGGCCGGGCATGGACATGGGGACATCATGACAGTACCAGGGACGGGCACAGGGGTGTGGGGACATGTGGGGACAGGAGCTGGGGATGGGGACATGGGGACATGGAGGGGTGGGGAGGTGAAGGGCAGGGGGACATGGGCACCGTGGTGGGATAGGAGCTGCAGGACATGGGATAGCCGTGGGGGGCACAGGACAAGCGTGGCACCTGGGTGCGGGATCCCCTGGGTGCCACCGCAGGTGACCCATGTGGGTGCCCTCAGTTTCCAGCGGAAGGTGGAGCGGTTCCTGGAAGCCCCCGGTGAAGCCACGCCACCTGACAGTGCCACCGGCCGCGCCATTGCCCTGGTCAACTGCTGTCCCCCCTTCAGGTGAGGGAACCTCCATCACCCCCACCTCCCCTGGGGTGCGTGGGGTGCTCGGGGTCCCCGGCAGCATCCACTGATCTCCCCACGGCAGGACCTTCGCCGAGCGCCTGGCGCAGTTTGGGCACCCCGAGAGCGAGGAGCCCCGGCGCCAGGCCCACGCCGCCCTGGACAAGGTGACCCGGCTCTGCAACCACGTCCTCACCCAGCGCCTCTTTGAGGACCTCAAGGTGGGTGACACCCATGGGTGCAATGGTCATGGTGCCCATCGGTTGGGTGCTGATCTGGGTGATGCCCATGGGTGCAATGACCATGGTGGCCTCCCACCGCCCTGGGCACCACCTGGGATGCCACCCATGGGTGCCGGAAGAGCCGCCCACCCCATCTGCCCCCTTCCCACCCCTCAGCCCTACTTCAGCAAGCTGATGAAGCGCAAGTGGCTGACGAGCTCCGACGCCTTCGACACCATCGTGATGCTCATCACCAGCTTCACCCAGAAGCTGCGCCCGCTGCGCCCTGAGCCCTACCAGGTGAGTGCCAGCTTGGGCACCGCAGGGTGACCGCCACCGCCGCCGCCGCCGCCTTC